TCCCCTGTCCTGAGCTTGTTGCAGCCCATCACCAGCAAGAAGCTGGTGATCACTGGCCATGGACTGGGATCTGACCACTTTTGGGCACCCCTTGGCATCTCTGCTGGGAAGTGCTGGTAGAGTGGCCATGAGTCATCATCCCCCCACATCCCTCCGCCCCCCCCAGGCCCTCTACCCCGCTTGCTCTGATTCCCACCAGCCAGGCTTCCTCAGAAGTAGCCCAGTGCTTAGCACAGCTGGACCCTACCAGTGTCTCCTTGCTCTCTGGTTCCTAGCCAGCCACAGCACAGCCAGTGATGGGCTGGGAGCCTCTTCATGCCCATGTTCCCGCTATGCCAGTTGCCTTTCCCCATGCCAGGGGTTTCCCTTTACCCCTCCCCCAGCTCAAACTGCAGACTTGGAAAGGCAGGGGGTGGAAATGATGGGGATTTCTTGCTCTTCCCTTAAACTTCTCTGTGCTGTCTTCTTCCTCCTCCTCCTTCTCCTCCTCCAGCGGACCTCCTGGAGATCTAGAACGGGTACAGTGGTGTTGCTGGGAGCGCTGCTCATGCACTAATTCCATGGAGCGATTATGAGAGAGTGGGGATAAGTGTTGGGGGGGAGGGAGGGCAGGCCCTGCCCATGGGGAACTTGTGAGGCCAGGTTATGGGACCCATTGGACTTCACTGGGTAACCCACGCAGGCACAGCGCAGTGGCTGGTGACCTGTCCCCATGCAGTGATGGAAGCTGGGGGGGCACAGGGCCCTCCATTCCAGCGGGGTCCTGATACACAAGGTGGTGGCCCCTGCTGTGAGTTACCCCCTGCTGCAGACTCCATTGCACTCGGTGCGTGAAACCAGCCTCCATCAATTACAGGATGCTGAGGATCCCGTACACTGGCTCCACAGGGGGTTCCTGCTCCCCTGGAGACACCCCAAAAGGATTGGTGAGCAGCACTGGGCCTTTGCAGAAATGCCACTTCCTCTGCCTGCTCCTAGAACACAGAGGCAACTCCTTGATGTTTAACCTCTCCGCTGTCTGACCCTCCCCCTTTGGCAGTTCACACTGGCCATGTCCCAGTTCAGACCCCCAGCCCTGCATGACTCCAACTTCACCTGGAGGAGCACATGCCAGGCCCCACAGGTCAGGGTACGTGCCTTCCAGCACTGAGGGGGAGGGGATCTCACATCTTCCATGGGGTCAGTGTCCCACCCAGCTGCCCTCTCTCTCATAATCGCTGCCAGCTGCTAATACCATCCCTCAGCCAGCGTGCTGGGGAGGGAGCATCTGTTGCGTGTTCGTGTGGTTCTCACCATTGCTGTCACGGTCCGCACCATGGTGGAGTCGGTGCTGGCTGCATCCCATGCCCCCCTCTGCCCTTTAACCTGTTTGTGAGACTTTGCAGACTAACTTGCCTGCTGTTCCTGGGTGCACCTGTGCCCCAGGCCCCCATCTTCCCCAGCACAGTCTGCAGCATCTCTGTCTCTCCCCAGCCCAGGCCCAAGTAGCCTCATTCCAGTCCTGCCTCTGCCCTCTAGCACTGCTTGTGACAATGGCCTGCACTTTGGCCTGCCATGGGCCCTGGCAGCTGTGTTCAGACTTGGATCTCTGATGCCCACAGCTGCTCCAACCCCTTAGTCCCAAGCACCTGGAAACATTAGAGACTGCATCCCCTCCAGACTGACTTCCAGCCCATCCTCTCTGCCACCTGATATTGCTTATAGTGCCCAAGCCTAGGGTCACCTCTGTTCCGTGCAGCGATTGTGTCTTGCCCTGTGCCCATAAGAATTTGGCCCCATGAGTCTAATCCATGCTCACAGAGCGTAACACATATTCATGTCAGAGAAAGTGCTCACCCTCCTGCTTGAGAGGCTGTTTTCTGTAAGCCACCCAGCTTGCTTTCAGGCACTCTGCGCTCAGGGCCTCCTTAGAGCAAGGCTCCACAGCCCCTCACTTGCACTTGAGGCCCAGAAGAGATTCCCCAGCCCGCCGTGCTCTGGGCCCAGCAGCACATTCCTGCCTGCAGTCACTGCACTTCCATGGCTCCATTGTCCTCCTTCACCCCATCTGTCCCAGCACGGCACGTCCATACCATTCTCACCACCAGCAGGATGCACTTGGCTGCTTTGTCCCGGCCTCTGTGGGGGGAAGAGGGGTTCCTCTTTGGTGTTTCAAGCTGTGTGTTCTTTCCTTCTCCCACATTTTCTTCTCCTGATTCCTTCCATGGTGGTGGCTGGGGTCTGGTGAACTTTGTGGTTCTGTAATGCAGGGGTATGTGGGCCCCTCGTGGGCAGACAGAGGGACTTGGAGATCCGGGTAGGGCACCCTGCTACTCCCTGGGAGCCCCTTCCCCATGTGTGGGATCACCCCACCACAGTTCCTTTAAACCCCCCATTATCTTGGGGGAGCTGCTGCCTCTGGGCACAGAAACTTCCTGGGGTCTGAAGTTTCCTTCGATGGCTGCACAAAGGCCTGGCTATCATGACCCTACAGTGCGATCAACAGGGATGCTTCTGATGGAGCCAGTGTCCTCTGGAGCCATGGGCAGGGCCCAGCCTTCATGAGGCTGTTGAGAAGTGTCCCTCTGCTCTGCGGTCTCTCGCCCCACCCCACCACACTGACAGAGCCCAGCTCAGCCCTCTGACCTGCTCTCCCTGTCTCTTGTGCCTTACAGATTCAACCAACAGTAGCTCCACTAAATCCAAGGTAAGAATCCCCAGGGGAACCCTCGAGCTCTGGGGAACCTCCAGCATCCTTGGACTCCCAGCTGCTAGCAATGGGAAGAGGAGAGGAACTGGGGATGAGGGAATGAACCCTATTGTTGCTAAAAAACAGAGCCATTTTGGAGCTAAGGTCTAGCAAGCCCTGGTGCCTCCCAGTCCTGGGTCAGGATCTGCCTCCCACCCCACCAACTTGGGGCAGTGAGACACGAGAGGCTGCAGGGTTTCTGATTATGCATTAAGAAGATGGGCCTGGGGTGCTTAGTTGGGTCTTAGTAGTTTTAAGGTCACCTTGAAATTCATGGGGCAGCTAGCAGCATGGTCCAGTTGGTGGAGCAGTGGGCTGGGTGTGAGGATGCCTGGATTCTAGTATGAGCTAATGCTGTCACTTAGCTTTGGGCAGGTTGCAGCCACTGTCTGCCTCAGTTTTCCCTTCCACCTCTTGTCTATTTGGTATCTAAGAATCTTGGGCTAGGAGACAACTTGGCCAGTGTCTGAGCAGAGCAGCCCCTCCTACAGGTACTGAGTGAGGACTAAAGGCTCCACGGTGAGATCTGTAATTCTGATACCGTGTTTGCCTCTGTCAAGCTGGTAAGACTCAAGCTCTTCCTGGCTCCCTTTGCTGGGGTTCTGCTGTGCAGTTAAGGCAACCTGATCCAGTCCTCCATTCCCAGGCCTGTCACAAGGTGCTATGGGTAGGGGCTAGCTTTTGTCCAAAATGCAGTACTGCAGCAGGAGGCATATGGCTGTGGCCACTCATGTGCTGTGGGTGAAAGCATGGAGTTGAAGGCCTGCATGTCCATCTCAGGGTGCACCCATACAGAGAAGGGCCATACAGCGAAGGGTGGGGAAGCACAGTACACAGATGGGATCTGCTTGGGCATTTTTACATGGTCTGTAGTGACGTGGTTGTGGTTGGTGGTCATGGTGCTAAGCCCTGTGGTGCTTCCTCCAGCAGGGCTCGTGGGCATCCCGGAAGGATCAGTACCACAAGGAGATGCTCACCATCTCCTTCATCTCAGCTGTCAACCGCAAGAGGAAGAAGCGGAGAGAGGCCAAGCGCTTTGGGAGCAGCACGGATGATGACTCGGAGCATGAAGCCACCAAGGGCGCTGGCAAGGCTAGAGGTGAAGAGGCTCTGGGAGCAGAGAGGCATGGGGAGGCCGAGGAGGAAGAGGCTGAGGAGTCGCGGGACCACGATGCCCCTGGAGAGGCTGGTGTGGAGCCCGATGCTCGGAGCCGAGTGGGGCCAGAGGCTATGTGTCTGCAACAGGAAGGCCACTTGGAGGTGGGGCTGGCGGAGGCAGAGGGGCTGAAGGGGATGAAGATGGCCGTGGCTTTGCGGAGCAGTCCCGAGCCAGCACTGGATGCCAGGTCTATCGTGTCGGGCTACTCCACGCTGTCCACCATCGACCGCAGCCTATGCTCCGAGGTGCAGTCGGTGGCCGAGAGCCGCGGCGAGGAGGCAGATGATGAACGCAGCGAGTTCAGCCACGTGGAGACAGACACAGAAAGCAGTTTCTTCCCAGGACGGGCAGGGCCATGTGAGGGCCAGGGAGACGTGGCAGGGGTGGGGGTGAGCAGCGACAAAGACAGGCGGGCATCCTTCAGCTCCCGCCGCCTCATCCAGTGTGACACGCTGGCTCGCAAGCGGCTCCTGCGGCCTCGGCGGGACAGCAGCTCCTCAGCCAAGGGTAGTACTGAGGCTCCAAGCTCCAGCTCCCGGGGCAGCCAGGAGTCCCTGCCCCCCCTGGGAGCTGCAGCAGAGAAGCGGGGAGGCTGGGTTTCAGCCCGGCCCTCACTGAGAGAGCAGCTCCGTCTGCGGCTGCGTGGCTCAGCCGACGACATGCTGGCCGTGCCAATGCGCCAGCCCCACTCCCCTGAGACCCGGCGCAAGAAGAGCAGCTGGCGGCGGCACACGGTGGTGGTGCCCGGTGGGCTCAAGGACCTCAACTTCAACGAGTGGAAGGAGCAGCGGGCGCCAGGCCAGGGCCTTGCTGATGGTGCCACCTCAGGGGCCAGGGGCGGTGCTGAGGGGCGGCCCCCAGAGGCAAGTGCCTCCTGCAAAGACCTACACAGGGACAACAAGGACTCGGGCCTCAGCAGCCTGGAGTCGACAAAGGCTAGGCCCTCCTCCTCCTCCTTGCTGGGGAACTCGGCGCCGAGCCACCAGGGCGGTGCTGGGGAGCAGCAACACAGTAAGGGCACGGAGGGGAACCTGGGTGACCGGGGCCCGGCTCCCAAGCGCACAGCTTCCTTGCGCTTCCACCAGTGTCTGTAACCGGCCTGGCACTTGGTCTGATGGTCCCTAAGCCCCTCTGCCTCCTCCCCGATGATGCCTGTGGCTGCAGTGGCTGAGGACCCCTCTGAGCTGGGCCTTGCCTGGGCATGGGTCCCCATCATGTGGGGAGGTCGCAGTCATGGTCCTTGAGGCCAGGGGCAGCTTACCCCTTTTCTGTTTTACCCCTGTACTTCGAGCTTTGCTCTTGGCCCTCAGGGCTTGGAGGCCTGGAGACACCCCATTTCCCTGCTCCAGCCCTCCCATCCTGGGTGCTTGGGTCACTGCTTAATTTAATGACTTCCCCCACTCCCGTTTTGTATTTAATTGTGCTCCATGTAGAGCTGCTTTTATTTAATCTGTTTCCCGATTTTGAGCCTCTTCTGTACCACCTCCCCCCACCTTCAGCTGCACCTCCCCACCTGGAAAATTTCCAGGCCCAGCCTTTTCTAGTCCCGATCCTGCTATGGATGGCAACCTTTGGACCTGGGATTGGCCCACTCTTGAGCGGTCACCCCCAAGAAGCATTTGAGCTCCCTTCAGGCCCTGTGTGGCACTGACGGTTTTCCTGAGCTTCCAGACCCAACCCTGTCCCTAACTCCTCGTGGGCGTGAGACGCCAGCCTCCACCTTGAGAGCACTTGCTTTATGGCTGCGGGAGGGAGGATGTGTTTACTTGAGGCTGTTGCTAGTGCCCTGTGGCCACTTGCCAACCCGTTTTGCTCTTCCTCCGGGTTGCGCTGGTGCCAGGGGCCCTGGCCATGGCTCCACGGCATCATGCTCTTGCAGGTTCCCCTCAATCCTGGTCACAGAAAATGCTGGCTGCATAAATGCTGCTGAGGGGTAAGGAAATGTTGAGCAGCTGTAGAGAGAGGCCTCTAGGCACCTTCATCCATGCCCACCCTATGCCCAGTGCAGAGAGGGTCCCCACCTTTCCAGAGCCAGTGCCCTGGCCCTAGTTGGGCATGGAAACTGAGGGGGGGATGTGTGGGGGGGAAAGCGTAGGCATGCAGCTCTGATGCTGTAGCAAAGACCCTCCCCACACATCTGTCTCCTTCCAGCAGTCAGGAGGGACTGGCAGCATTTGCATTGTGCTGCCCAGGTGCCAGGATGATGGGCACAAAACCAGGCAGCCAGGCTGGGGACTGGAGAGCAGAGACGGAGCTGATGGCTGGCTCTCCGTCTGCCCTGGCCACAGTCTGTCCAGCTCAGAGCTCTTGTGGGGCTCCCCAGAGACCGCCCCCCTCAGGGCATGCATGCACTACAGGCCAAAGGCATCGCTGCAGCTGGGTGGGTATCACAGCTACCAGTGTGCCAGCCCCATGGACCTGAGGCTGTTGGTATGGGCTAATGCTTGTGGTGCTGCATCTCTGCTGTGAGTGCACTCCTTGCTGGCCGGGGGACACCTACCCCTGGCTGC